CGTAGGCATTTATTAATTCTTTTGTCGAATTTTGCGCAAAGCTACTTGGTGGTTACCTGCGCTAGCCGTCCTTAATTTTGAAGTGATAGAATAGAGGGAAAGCAGCTAGTCAACAATACCCACTGCCAACTTTGAGCTACTTTTTGTCAACGAATACCAGATTTGACCATCACAATATACGACGATAACGCCCTCATTACTGAAAGGCGAGCATATATCATGTTCGACAACGCAGAATGCGGATGGATTACCTTAACCACCAGGTGAACATTAAATGTTCACTCGAACAACTAATTTTAGTATTATAGATCTATAATTGATAGTATAAACATGTTTAGTCGGAAGGAAATGATATTATTGTTTCTATCGCCGAATAACAAACAAGGAAACTTAATGCTCGTTTACGCTGAATTAATTTTCAACAATATAATTTTGTTATGATCTTTTACATTAACTGAAAAATTCATCATAAAAATGTTCTCCGTATTCTTTATACTAGCAGAAACGCCATCCTACGGATTATGCTCTTTAATCATATGCAACTCATTGCTTCAAAATGATTCAATGTACAGTTTGTTTCTGCGTTTGATGTTAAGCACAAAGCTACACGATGGGCTATCTGTGCTCTGCCCACCACGGGCATCAAAACCCAGATTCTAGCGTTGTAAGTCCGCAGACATACCGCTGTGCTACTGGGTAGGGGCTTCAATGTACAGAGCTCAAAATGTTCATAAATTTTACTGATGTAAACTGTAATGTCTTTATATATTAAAAGTGTTACCATGTTTTGAAAAAATAATGTTTTGTAAGAACTCCAGTTTCTCTGTACTACATTTAGAGATTACACCAATAAAGATATAATCAAACCCTCACGTACTGTCCTAATGAAAGTCATGTTTTTGTTGTGAGGAGAGTAACATTATTTAAACTTAAGTTCTGTTGTAAAGCAATGGTTGTTGCACATAGCACATTTATTTTTATAATTATCTGAATCTTAAATACCCAAAGTGTGAAATAGATGGCGCAGAAGTTTTGTTATTTACATATATATAGATACTGGCATATTGCAACTGCAATATTTTCACATAACTGATACCCAGCACTAGGTGCATGTTGAGTCTAATTAGTGAGTTAGTTTCTAAGTTTATTATTAAGCACATAGCTACACAATGGTCTATCTTTGCAGTGCCCACCACGAGTATCGAAACCCGGTTTTCAGCGTATAAGTCATCATACTTATCGTTGAACAAATGAGGGCTGTAATTGGTGCGAAACCGTTTTTCAAATTTGTCGTATTTACTTTTTAACACATAAAATATTCTATTTGCAGTTAAAAAAGAAGAAGCAAAGTTTGTCAGCTTTTGACTTAAGTCTGAAACTTATGTTTCTGCTTTTAGACTTTTTATTATCTTTATATATATATTATAAAACGTATTTTCTATGCAAAAACTTAAAAATTGCCATTTGATTATTTATATACGAAAGAAAATGATTATTAAACATAATAAAATTTTGAACTTATAGATGCTCATCGTTAAATGGCGGCTTTTGAATACGATATTTAAATATCAAATTTTCGGTGTTTTATTAGCGTACTAATTTGGAAATGGTTTAATCTTTCTTTGCTTAGTATATTCGAGTATTAGACTAACTCGTAAACGATTTCATTATTTATTTTTGCATAAAACTCTCTTTTTATTATATATATTATTAAATAAACTTTATTTAATTTAAACAATCTACATCGACAGAGGGTGTTCAGTAAGCAAAGATCCTGAATAGGAAGACCTTGTTGAGAATTATTTGAAAAATAAAGATGAATAAATAATAGGGTAAGAGAGCAAAGTGTATATCCGATTATTGTATTAAATTATGAAAATCACAGGAGTTTAAAAACGTACGTGATGTTTCCAGTATTTTGAAATTTTCCATGTTAAAAGTTTTGCGTCTTTGGCATTGTCTCAAAAAATCAAATTTTACTACTCTTTGCGTAGTTTTATTCGGACATTTACTGATTTATCATTTAGTGATTAATTAGAAATTGTATGGATGATGGATCCTCGACGTTGAGACGACACCTAAGTCAGTGATTTTCCAGTATTTTGGCGTGTCTTTTCTAAAGCTAAACCTCAGGTAAAAGTAATTGTAAATGAACACCACCCCTTTTAAAGTTTTTTTTTTTTTCACACCATCATCGTTGCTTTTCTCACACTTCTGAGTTCTCTATTACTATTACATCATATTGATATATTATTACAAGTTAATGATTCGAGATCACGTTACATGCGTCTTTTTTTTAGTCATACTTTATTTTCATTACTAGATACTTACCTGTGTAAATTACTAAATTATAATAAATTAATACCTAGATGATAAAGTTAAAATGTCATGAGTTAACTGCTAACTAATCTCACACAAATAGTTAAGAAATTGGCAACAAATTTAACCCCCTTTTAAATCTTCATTCTCTAAAGCCCAAGTGTTTAGATTTACAATTTTCTGTATTGATAGCAATTTTTCGCATTTTGTCATAGTCACTAAGACTGCCAAGGCACTTTGGAATAAAAGGAACATTCAAAATTGTAGAAATTACTATAATGAAAAATATCAAGGGATTCATTAGAACATAATTCCTTAGAAGTTCAGGTAAATTTTTTAGATCTTAAACTAATGTTAAAGGTAAGATCCCTTAGGCACTATGACTGTAAGATCTTGGTGACCATACATTCCATTTTGGACCTCTTTGTCCCAGTGTCCCAAAGAGATCTTTCAGGGTGGAATAAATGTTGTGGTTTTAATTTACATTTCTTTTCTTTGCCTAAAAGTTAAAGTTTTTAAAGAAAACTACCAGTTACTTTTTGGATATTATTGTAATAATGTTAAGTGTAATTTTAAATTGTTGTGAACAATATATAAATGACACCCTACTGGCCTGTTTCAGTGACATGATCAGTGAAGAATGTGATGTTTTCAGAATTTGCTACCATTTACATTGAATATTAGACTATTAGGCCTAGACTGAGTTGACATGTCCAAATGTTTAACATTGTCCTAATTTGACCATCTGACATTTATGGTCACCTTGTGTAAGATGTTAAATTTGTATGATATGACTGGTATAAGTAATATGTGACATGAAATACTGCACTGCCAGGTATGTTAAATTAGTAATATTAATGTTTTTACTGTTATTTGATTTAGTCTGTCATGTAATCTTATTTTTTATGTTATTTTTCATTAATATGTAAAATTGTATTTGGAAATTGTATGATTTTATTATTATTTGTCATCTTTTATTTTTATGATAGAAATTATTTTATTTTTTTAACAAACTTTTAAAGTAATTCTGTACATGTAGTTTATGCAATTAACTTAAAATTTACATATACAATTTTCAGTGAACCTCATTGGTGGACTTTTCATCAGTGTAACCAAATCTACATTGTGAATTTTGATAATAACATTAGCCAGTATGCCATCTTGTACTACAATAGTTAGAACAGCAGCAATTGTTACCAAAAGAACCATCCAAGAAATGAAGGACAGTTGTCGGTTGCCACCACTTCCAACTATTAAGGACATCATTCGTTTGTATAAGCTACGAGCACTAAGGCAGCTTTCTCAAAACTTTTTACTGGACCTAAAGTTAAGTGATAAGATTGTAAAAATGGCTGGAAATATATCTGGTTTTCATGTTTGTGAAGTAGGGCCAGGTCCAGGAAATATCACAAGAGCTATCTTAGAACGAGGAGCAGATAGAGTTACAGTTATTGAGAAAGATAGAAGATTTTTACCTTCTTTAGAAGTGAGTAGTTATTATAGGTTTAAATAGACTTATGAACTTTGGGAATGTGAGTACACAGTTTCTGAAAACCTAAAGAGATAACCTACTTATCTGCTTTTTGAACATGTGCATCTTTATTTCTTAAAATGAGTGCCTTTATGATTCTTGGCTTTAAGTACTGAATCATCATTAAGATATGTACATGCCTTTGACATAATAAGACTTAAACAAAATATAGAAAAAATAAAAATATAAAATTATAGCTATATATAATGGTAAAATGGACCTTCAGGGGTTCCATATTTATTGTATTTTTTTAGTTACATTTTCCTTTTTAAGTACATCTAATAGATTCTTATAAGCTATTTTTATTTATGTTCACCAAATACAATTGTCATCAAATAAGACAAGTTTACTGTTCAGTGAGTATTGTTGATAATTGCAAAATATTGATTACTCAAATCTTTATTGAATACCATTTTTATGTTTATCCATTTCAAACAATTTACATAAGTTGTCTTACTAGCTTTTTAATTATTTGCAATTATAATAGTGACACAGTTTCACTATTATCAGTGTGTAATTAGTGCATATTTAAAAACAAACAATAACAACTGTCTGGTAATATTTAGTGACTCATTCGATAAGTAAGAAACGTCCATAAAAGTTGTGGGAAAATATTTTTTTAGAACCTTCAAAAGAAACTAAATATAAAGTAAATTAGGAAAGTCAGTACCATGTTAGATTAATGCAATGGTTGAAAAAGTTAAAATGGTAACACACATTTTTTTCTTTGTCTTGTATAGGTTTTAGAAATGTAATTGATTAATGAGCCCATTGTGTAATCAGTTAACGAGTACCACTAATCACTCAGCTCTAATTAGCACATGCAAAAAAAGTAGTAAAAGAATGACACTGAATTTCTCTATTCACACAAAATATTAACTGCAACTATAAACTGGATGATAGGGTATTGTGCTTTGATTTTGATTCGCACACGTGTATAAATACATTTTTATGGGTAAAACTAAGATTGATTTTAAAATGTTGTAACATAGTATATTTCAGTCAATTTGATGTTTTTTAAATAAACTTTTGGAATAATGAAATTAGATGGTATTCTGAATGTTGTGAAAACCAATGTTTGAGTGGAATATGTTTTGATTTTCAGTTCTTAGCTAGTGCAACAAATGGAAGACTGCATATTATAATTGGGGATGTTTTGGAGTATGATATAGGACACTTGTTTAATAGGTAAGGATAGTATTGTAGTTCATTTGTAGTGGTATCATGCATATTCTAGATATTTGTTTGTGAATTTTGTACAAAGTCAGTTGTATTAATAATAGTGACAAGATTAATATAAATGTATATAACTTTAGAAACTATCGGCCATACTTTTTTATATCATCCATGAATAGTTTTTGGTGTTTATGGTCATTAATCTTCCTTGATGGACCACAGATACCAAACTTTATGGAAATATGGAGGACCTGAGGGATGCATTCCTTAGGCCTATTGTTCCACTACTCTGTGTGTATTGGCCTCCGCTTGTCCCATCAACTGTTGTAACTTCCCTTCTCTTTTAGGAATAATCTTATTTGAGATGGCTGGTTCAGCTCTTCAATTCAGTCTTCAGTTCCCTTCCCTTGGGGTTTTCTCAATTTGTATGTGAGGTGGGCTTAACATTCGTAATTTTTTTGAGACATGTAAATTCTTTTTTCAAGTCTTTTGTATTTCCTTGTTTTCTTGTATGTGAGGATTTTTCTCTTTTTGTGGACTTTCTTCTCTTGAATCCCCTTTTCCTCTTGTAAATATACACCCTTTCCAGTGAGTTCTGGCTGATGAATACCTATCATGTTTCAGGAGCTTTAACCCTGGTGGCAATTTATCTATCTTTCTCCTAGAACAGTTTTTCTATTTTCTTATTTTCTGGTGTTTTCTATGAATTTGCTTTCTCATTGGAAATCATTTCATTACTGCCCTTTTGACTTTCCTCAACAACTAGCTTCCATTTTTTTTTTTTATCTACAGTCCTATACTCTCCAACTATGGCATAGATGCTCTGAGTCTGGATTGGTTCAATCCCTTTTTATGCTTATTCATTTCTTTGACTTCCCATTTCTCCTGGTTACAGAATGGTTTTGTACCTGACCATCAAGTTATTATCTGTTTCTTTCTGTTGTTCATACAGATATTTCCAAGCTTTTTTATTGGTTGTCCTTCTTGTCCTTTTCCTCTTCTGGGCTAGAACATCTGTTTAGTTCCAAGAGCTCTTACATGTTTCCTGTTCAAACCATTGACCATATTTTCCCAGTACTATCTTTCTCTTAAGACATATTTCCTTCTCTTTCTCACATGCAGGAACTGTCACTTTGATATTTTTGCTTTGCATGCATCTCACATTCGTTACCACAGGGACAGGTTCATATTATCCCCTAACAACTTTTTTTCTCCCCATAACTTGGGTGTCTTGGGAGGGTGATTGGATGTTGTCTCCAATCAACCTTCCTTCCTTGTTTGATTATTCTGAGCCCTGTTTTTTTTTCGTCCTATATGCACTCTTCATTGTTATCTTGCTCATACTGCCCCTTTCAAGACAGTCGACAATGCCTTTTCTAGCCATAAGATCCTTTTTTTTTTTTTTTGGATTGGGACCTTACAGCTGGTTTTGTGGATTACTCCCAACACCGTTATGTCACATTAGTTGCATCAATTTGCAGTTTCATTTATCTGTAATTTTCATATCCCTTCAGTCTCCATTCTCCAATCCTCATAGAGGATCTATATAAGTAGGTTGTTATTATTTCTTTCTTTCTCTTTCAGATCTCCCATCTACCACAGTTGTTGTTTCCTCATGAGGAATATTTCTCTCTCTCTCTCCCAAAATGCAGATCAAATGGTGAATAACAGAAAGTGATAAGACCATCTGCCCTTGTTCAGTGCCTGCTGTTTAGATGGGCTATCTGCAGGACTGTATTTCAGAAATTAAAAATTAAATCAGCAACATATGTGAGCTTGTCCTCACACATGGTAACAGACTGCTGTCCCTATTCATGATAACTCATAGCACAGTCTGTAAGTGTAGGACCTTATGCAGATGATAGAAAATTCCTGTTTTGTCCATGCAGCTCTAGTGTTCTTCCTTATGCAAATTCTTCCTATTTCTTCTAGTAGAATAAAGGGAGAGCCCTTGCTTCCTCAGTCCCAAGCTGCTGGGGAGATCAAGATGAAGAGTTATACTTTCAAATAAGTGTTATCCCATTAGGATGAGACCATCTTGGGAGGTAGAGCTGGGGTGTTTTCCTGGACGTATAGTATAGGCCACCCCTTTCAACTGAGAACCAGACCATTTTCAATGGTTAGGTCAGCTAGATGGGTCTGGAGTTGTCCTAGGGGTAAGTTGGGGATGATTTTTTCCTGCACCTGATTATTCTTCTAAGTATTTCTCCACTTCTATAAGGCCTGACTTACTGCCCTAGCCACACTACACATACAAGCTTTACTGATCTCCTGAGACATTATCGTAGGTTGAGTATTCATCCATACTCTCCACCTATACTTCACATTAGCACCTTGCAGAGGGCTCTTTTCTCAGTATCCTTTGCTTTAATAACTCAAGAGTAAGCTTTTTAAAAAAAAATATTGTTCTCATTTTGTGGGTGTGTAATATGTAATTGTTTTCCTAAATTTGATTGTTATTATTAAAGCTTCACAAAAAATATGTTAGGGTAATAAAATTATTTCCAGTTTGTGTGTTGATGACTGTAATATAGAAATTAAACTTAAATAATACATCTTAGTTACAAAAAAGAAATATAAAACTAGTTATTAGGAAGAATTAAAAGCTTTATTATTGATTTTCTTTAAGTTTAGGAGACTAATAAATATTTGTCCTTCTCTATAAAGTTTCAAATTACACATGAAGCTTATTCTATAAGCATTTATGTTATGGTGACTTTTGTATAATTGCATGTTATTGATACATATCACTAAAATGTAAGTTATATTATGCTGAATGAAATTTGTTTAAGAGTTTTTAGAAGTAAATCACTTATGGAACTTTTATTATGGCTTTATTGACACATAGAAATATAAGCGAAATTTATATTCAAAATGTTATTGTATATTATTTAATGATACTTTTTTTGCCCTCAAGGGAACTTGCAAAGGATTGGAATGATGTACCACCCCCATTTCACATCATAGGAAATCTTCCATTCAATGTATCTACACCTCTGATTATTAAGTTATTACGACAGGTATCAAACAGAGAAGGTCCGTTCGCCTACGGAAGAACAAAAATGACTCTTACTTTTCAGGAGGAAGTTGCAGAAAGAATGATAGCTCCAGTGTTTTCAGATCAGAGATGTCGTTTGTCAGTTATGTGTCAGAATTTATGTAAAGTTGAACACAAATTTACTATTCCAGGTTTGTTAGAGATCTGTCAGCACTTTTATAGTTACAGAGTACATAAGGTTACAATTAGTCATCAATGTGTGTGAGTTAGCCAAGAATTAAGATATTAGGTTTCCTACATCTGAAAGTTTAAATATACCTGACATGAAAACACTTGAATTATGGCTATGATATTCACTAGAAGAAAGATGCAACTTAAAAAAATCAGTGTGTAATAAATACTTCAATGTAAATTACTTTTATTGATTTATACATAACTGAATAAACCAACAATGAGTAACTATACCATCTACAAATTTAAGCTAAGTTTTTCACCTTTTGGTCATCCTATCCATATCTAATTAAAGCTACAATAGAGAACATTTACAATGGTGTATAACCACACTTCTTTCTTTGAATGTTCATAATAACAACATTTTTTTTAAGACTTAAGATGTTAACATACTTTATTTTCAAAGAAAATTATTTAAAACTGACTTAAGTCCCATTTCTTCGGTGTATGGTATAGCAACCTTTATGAGAGACAGATTTTGGCTAGTGACTTCACATTTGTGGTCAGGCATATGAAATTGTAGGGTTAGCTACATGTATCATTTGCTGGATTTTTAGGAGTAGCAAATCAGATTTTTAACACTACTACTAGTGTTTAAATTGACAATCTAGATATGATGACTCCCTCAAAGTGCAGCTATTCACATCAGTTCCTTAGATGTTTTGTAACTTTTCTTCAATAATTACAGTAAATTTGTTCTCACCATTAAACTTTTATTTATTTACTTTGTTAATAAAGTTGATCTACAAGTATCGTTATTTAATAGTGATGTAAAAATTCTGTGCAAAGCATTAAGTAATGCTTAATGAAGGAATTAGCTATAACTTGTTACTTCTCAGCAGTCTTTTCAAATAAACCCAAAACATCTAACGGAGCTATTCTTCATTGTTCCATTTACTGACAAAAGCATAGAACTTACTAATCTAGAATCTATTATTCAGGAGAAATTCCTACAGCAGTTACTACCTGGAACATTAAATTTCCAACAGAAAGTTACACCATACAAACACTCACCAGAAGCATGGTTTTTAATTGTAGAAGTTTTAGCTAATATTGATAATGATGAACCAAACAACATTCTTTCCTCATAGTATGGTGTTTTTAATTCTCCTCTACATTTACAAATCCACTTAACACATCATTGCAAAATGAAGATTTATGGTTTTTGATGAGTAAGGGACCTAAATTTTCTAAAAATTAACTGCACGTGTGCAGGAAAATGTTTTGACGCAATCATTTAAACATCCAGTATCAAATCTGAGTGTAAAAGTAACGTATTACAGTTTTGCAATAGTTTGAATGGGTAGAAGAAGTAATCAATAATGAGTCAGTTTTTTAAATAAAGCTTCATTCAGTATTTTCACACAAATACTTCAGAAGAATATTTAAAATACTTGCATGAAAAATATATCATAACACCTGCAGATAAAGCACCCAGTAACTTTGTTTTTATTTTAAAAATTCTATATTATTGTACTTGTTAAGAAACTTGACGACAATTTTCAAACCTTGCAACCTTTAGGTAATTTTGTTTATATTTATGTTTAAACCTATGTAAGTGACAGAATCAAACAATATAATACTATTTGAACAGAATTTACAGTTGATGAAAGTATTAAGAATATTGTAATTCCTGAGTCAGTTTGGATTCCTAATATCTACAAGTCACCCTGTAAATACAGATTCATAGCTAGGGCTGAAAAAAACAACAAAATTTATCCATTTTCGTAGGTAAAGGTCTTAAGTACATCAAAGAATATTTTGAAGAAATATTGTACCACTATAAAAGAACAAACAGGTATTAATACATATTATTATAAAAAAATTCCAGGGAATACAAAAAAAAAGTTAAAATCTTTCACAGCTAAAACCTATCAAAACATTTGATTTCCGCAATCTGTATGCCAGCCTACTCTTACACAAAATCTGTGAAAAACTTAAGTCTGTAATTAATAGATTTTTAACAATGCAGTAAACTAATGATTTGTATGGTTGATACTAAATGTTTCTTCAAGAATACTCTTTTTTTTTTTACACTGAATGAAATCATACAGGCCATAATTTTTATTCATTTAACAACACCTTCAATTCACATGTTTAAATAGACACAAGGCATACGGATGAGTGATAATTCTTGTTTACAAGCAGCAGATTTATTTCTTTTTGAACTTGAATATCAATACATTATACAGCTTCTCAAGAATAACTTCTATACAGCTTTACAAATTAACAGGGAATGGTCCATTTGCATAGAAATAAGGTTTAAAGTAAAAGGTGTATAAAGATTCAGGGCTTAGCCTAGAGAGCTTACATTTTATATATATATATATGTTGACTCTAAGATGACAACTGGGAACTGTACCAAAATCATCTCTTTTAATGTTTGTTTTATATTAAGTTCATTATTGTTTTATAGTGCTGATTGTAATTAATACTGTTAGAGCTATTTATTTCATTATGTATATATATGTGTAATAGAGAGAGAGGCCCTAATGCAGTGGTAGTACAGATGTACGAAATTTGAAGTGAGGTGAAATATTTATTTGTATAAAATAATGTAAAACTAGTGTCTAATGAAAACTTAACAGTGTACAGTACAAAGTAGATTGATGTCAATTGTAATATGCTCTCTCAATATGTGTATACATATATATCTAGAGAGAATGTATATTTGTAACTATGTTCTCGTGTGTGTCATATAATTCCGGAGTTATTTAAAATGTAGCCAGATGTGAACAAAAATTCTTTAGTTGCACACTATTAGGTAATAGTTAATATAATCCTTCTTTTTTTTTTTTAGGTCAAGCCTTCCTGCCTAAGCCCAAGGTGAATGTCGGTGTTGTACTTCTTACACCTCTCAAACAACCTTTGATTAACCTGCCATTTGAAATTGTGGAGAAAGTAGCAAGATGTCTTTTCCACAGTCGGCAAAAATATTGCAAGCGAGGCATTCAGTAAGTGGACACTTTTATTTTTATGTTTCCATAGTTATTCATACTTCATGAAGACCTTGTTATGTGAAACACATTTTCTTCACACTTTTCCGAAAAACTATGTTTTTACAATATGTAATATGGTTTATTCAAAAAATGAGCTTATAAAATTAGTTGAAAAGATACATTTGAATCCTCCTTCTTTGGTCCTAGTTTGTTTTTTAGTTGGTGTAAATGGATTTTTCCTGCCATTAATACCATTTACTTCAGGAGCTGGCCTGGCATGATCAAGTGGTTAGGGCGCTTGACTCGTGGTCTGAGGGTCACGGAATCAAATCCCTGTTCCACCAAACATGCTCGCCCTTTCAGCCATGGGGGGCATTATGATGTGATGGTAAATCCCACTATTCGTTGGTAAAAGAGTATCCCAAGAGTTGGCAGTGGGTGGTGATGACAAGCTGGGTTCCTTCTAGTCTATTACTGCTAAATTTGGGATGGCTAGTGCAGATAGCTTTCATGTAGCTTTGCACGAAATTCAAACCAAACCCAAACATTTCGAGCTGTACCTTAAAAATTTATGAAAATATGATTGGGGGTATTTTTTAAACAATATAACTGTACTTCAGCTAGTGTAAATGTAATATTTCATTTATTAATACTCAGTATAGCTCATTTTCATTTTTCCCCAGGTTAATTTTTGGAGCATTTTTATAAAGAAAAATAATCTTAGAACCCTTGACCAGTATTCTTGTTCACCCCATTCCAGGTTGGCAGAATACCACCTGCTGTTTGGGCTAACAAAAAACATTGGGTAACTTAATTTATTTTGAAGAATTTATTCACTATGCATGTATTTTTAAATATATTTTTTCTTTTTATTGCTTGATACATTACCAAACTGTAAACTGTAGAGGCTTGCAAGACAAGCAGAATTACTACTACAAATTACAGAGCATTAATGTCTGCATGATTTAATTTTTATTCACCAGTTAATTGTCCCTAAGTACTGTTTTAACTACAATGGCAATGAAAGATAATATATTGCACTGTTGAGGCTCATGCAATGAGCATAATTGCTATTCCCTCATCTGTACTCTTCTTGGGACATTGCTGTCTGAATGAGTTTTTGATATTCTATTCACCAGTTTCTTGCATCTAAAGGTTGTATTAAATACGTTCACCTACTCTCTTTTTTTTGAGAAACTGTCTAATGCTACTTTTCCATATTGTAATATGCCTGAAATAACTGACAAACTCCTTTTCAGTTGACTTGTAGCTTATGCCATAAAACTTTGACATTATGTGCTTTATTGTGTTAACCTGTAATAGGTCAATGGTATCCACATCTAGGCCAAATATGTCAAATTTTCTATTATATTCAACTGTCTCAATCTACTTAAGTAAACACACACACACACATATATATAGTCAATAACAGTGCTTTAGTTAGACCATAGCACATACAATGTTCAAAGAGAATTACAATGTTTTTAATATTAGGAAATTATTTTACTTGCTTGTATATTTCATTCGTGCGAGTTATAATATGAAATATATTCATAATTCGGTGAGAATTGTTCATATATTAAATTCCCTTACATGTAGTTATATGAAGCACTCATAGACAGTTTTGTTCTTTATCACTTCATCTTCTCTTTGGATTATTCAACATCAAGATATTTTCTATCAGAACATACCAGTTGGAAAAAAAAAACGTTTATTAGGATATTCTTGCTGTTCAGAGACTGAAATTTCTGAATCAAGATGATAGTGATTGCTGTCAGTTTACTTATCTTGACATAAGGCAAATCCATTGTGTATACTCGGCAGTAATGCTCAAGTTTAATAATCTTTTTCTTTTCAGTGAAGTCGGTAAGTTTGATACCAGTTAGTCAAAATACTTATTATGTGTCACAGTTTGACTTTTTATGAGTTGTGCCCTTAAACATACATTTTTTTGGCTGATGAATATTCTAGTAGTAGTGGTTTCTAAGGATCGTTGACTAGCCCCAAATAGTAAATAAAATGTGAAGATAACTTCATCCTCTTGGTTTCTCATTCATTTTCTTGTGTGCCATCTCTCTTTATATTTTAATATTTATGCTGTGAAAATCAATGAGAACACATGCCTTTGCATCACTCTACGTTCTATTATATATATATATATATGTTGAAAACCTCAAAACTGATATTTTGCTAAGTTCTAGTCATTTAACTGTTGATATTTAGAACAAGAAAAGATACACGAAAATATTTTTTTAAGTGCACCTGTGTGTTTGAATTCTTTGTGAATTGTGTTTGACAGATGATGATGGAATGTTTTACCTTTGAACTTTTTTCAAGTAATTAACCATTTCGGGTTTCAAAAGTGTTCAGAAACTTCAGTAATTGGATGACTGCTTACAGTAGCATTCAGTGTCAAAATGATAAATATCAAAAATATTTTTAAGAGGTTTACAGTTGTTTCAGTGATTTAGCCAAATAGGTCTATCCAGGTAGAAAATAAATTTAATAAAGCATTATATAGACATTTTTAAAAAATGTTTACTTGATGAATAAATAATTTTGTTAGTGTTCATGTGTATCATTTCTAGAATATAAAAAATATCTGTTATAATATTAAGATTACAAAGGGTTTTCTTTATTTCATTAGAAAACTTTACCCAGGAAATCGAGTTGATCTAGTCGAAGAAACTATACGTCTTGCTGATATTGACCCAAATGTCAGAACTTTTCATCTGAGTGTAGAGGAAGTTGGTCAGATTGCTAAAGCTTATGACTATATTTGTCAACAGAACCCTAAACTCAAGAACTATGAATTTAGAATGGGGAAGTTAAATAATGATGTATTGAGTGAAGATAAGGATGCTCAAATTCATAATGAGTGTGTTAATGTTTAACGGTGTAATTATTTTTAGAATAAAGATAATATTTGTCAAGATGGGAATGTACATCCTGTAAAGTCAGAAATAAAAGGAACATTGCATTGTATATAATATATTTATTTGATACATTTGTTATAATTTTTGGAGAGATTGCCATAATTTTTAACTATTCTACCTTAATACTGCTTAGAGTCATGCTCCATTAACACTTTCTCTACAGTATGTTCCTCTAGTTATTGAAATGTATGATAATTAAATAAAAACTTTGTAATGACTAATGTGGCAGTAATAAAATGTATTAAAAGTAACCTTTTATCTGTTGTAAAAGCTAATAATAATAATAATCTAATATTTTCCTCTTTTATTGTATAATACTTGCATTCTTTTTTATATATACATTGACCCACAAATATTAGAGTTCTGATGCATTATAAATGTTTTTTTTAATTGCAGGTTAGTGAGGGCATTTTTAACTGACTTATTTAATTTATGTCTCTGTGTTATATAGATAAAGATTGTTGTCAGGAAATATATTTCTTCTATATATACTCTGGGATCCTATTACCTTTTGGACTGGTGCTTTAACTTGGTATAATTAGCTCATTTTTGCGAAAAATACTCCATTTAATAACTAGTGATTATATTACTTCTCCCCATGCAGGGATTTAGAAAGTTGCTCTAGTTTTATGTTACTTCCGTAAGTGGTGTGTTCTTCATGTTAGTTTTTGACATCACTATAAAAGAAATGCTGTACGGAAAAATAGGGACTTTGCGATACATAATGAGAGATTATTGGAAGGTGACCCTAGTTCTATTCAATCTTTGATCTACTTCAGCAATGTTTATAAAGTTGACAAATTATATAAAAATACTTTAAGAAAAGTGTTACTCATGACAGTGGGATAGTCTGATCAAATTGGTTATTTGGTGATAGGTATTGTTACGATCCCGTATTAGTAATACTATACTGTATAATATTAATACGTAAAAAAAAATGACAACTCTTCCATTTTGTAGTTTTACAGATATATATTATAAAACATAAATATTAACTTGTAGTTGTATACAATAATTTAAAAAATGGTACAATACAAAAAAAAATCACTTTCTTGGTAGATCCACGTAGAAACCGTCTCTCCAACGTAATCACTTAAATTTCAAATCGTAGTATGTCAAAATTCAACTTCAGGTTGTAAATTCAAAGTTCCAATTCACGCTAGATGTACGGTTACAAAAAGTTCACTGTTCCAATGTCCACTGCACCATAACTTTTCAGTATTTTCAAAAACGGTTTTCAAATTTCAACAGTTCTCAAAAAGTACAAGGCTTACAAGTACAAGACTAATTCTTAAATTTAAAGTTACAAACTCTAGAGTCGTAAACGAAAAGCTAATGATAGCTTATATTTATAACTAAAACATACGATTAACATCTAGGTTCAAAAAACTCTTTCGAGTTCGATACAGAAATCTCTTAAATGGTCACTCAAACTCAACCAAACCTCAAAAAACACTTCTCCTTCCCCAACGGAAACTTGAAACTTTTACACAAAACCGTCACAGAGAGGGCGCGTGCTAAAAACAGTTAGTTATACGTCATTGATCAGGCAATACACCAGCAGCACCTCACAAGTTTGAAACAAATACGGCTTCGTAACAGTATTGTTGCGTCAGCGAGGTCACGTGACTAGTATCACGCCACCCGTTTTCTAGAAATATCCTGTTCCTTCAAGAATGCCCTAGAATTTACTAGATATGTGTCAGTCTTGTATATATA